GTGGTGGTGGGAAGTAATATTTTCTAGAACCACACGATGTGGAGTAAACCAGTCAGCTACTTATTAACTGTAATACACAGTGGCAAAGGCTTACTTTTAACTGTTTGATAGATGCTAGTAAGTTGTGTTATTCAAATCTTTTTTTTTCAAGCAAAGAACTTAAATTGTCAAAAATAGCAGAATTTCTCAAATTCCTGACTCGAATTTTTTCCCCTTTCTATAGATGCTGGAAGGAAGTAAATCACCAACAGATATGGACGTCACTCACACTTTAAGTACAGAAGAGTTACGTTCGCTTCTGGCACTAGAACCAGAGGTACACAATACAATTTGTATGTTATTTCTTGAAAAAGTGTACTTAATTTTTTCCATTATTGTTTTGGTGTTTGCTACTGTTTGCTAAGTTCTTTTGATTTAATGGACCTTTTTGGCAATACGGCGGCCATTTTGAATTTTAGCGAGGTGGCCATTAGTGGAAGGTCTTCTGTATAATAATGAATAAACATTAGATTATGTTCCTCCAAAACTTTGGACAAGAGAAAAAAAAAANGGCCGTTCCCAAGTACACTCAGTGCAGAAACAGCAAAAAGATCTTTTGCCACACTTTGAAATGGATAGAGGAATCCTTGACTCGCTAATTCCAATTACCTGTAATTGGACATCCACGTGATTGCATGCCAATTACATGACAACTACGCGTGCGGAGAACCAATCACAATAGAGAATTTTGTTATAGATACAATTAAAGACAAAATTTCTGTTGACGTCGATTGAATGCTGATGTTGTTATCAAGTTATTTCCTTCTTCTTCTGTATAATGACCCATTCACTCGGAGAGAATCGTTGCCATGCGGTAAAGAGCATTAACGGTGGCCAACACACATCCTTTTTTTCGTAGCCACATCAACATCAGAAGTTATTCAGGTGTTCAACTGGTGTGAAAAGAAAAGCCGACGGAAGTTACTTGACACAGGGTAAGAACAATAGCAAGGCTACTTGTACCTTTTTAATAAAAATTGAATCGGGTTTCAAGTGGGCTGTACTGGCTGTCAGCTTCCTCAGTTGGCAATGAAATACTACAATTGTATAGGACATGAGTGTGAATGATTTATGATTTATGATTTACATGATCTGGATAACTACTATCTTCTTTGTCACGTGCCTTTCCCCCAAAATATGCCCAATCCTGAGGTCCTATGCATTATATAGAGGGTAATACATGGACACGCATAGATAAGGAATATCTCTTTTCGTGTTCAACTCGATATCTCACTCATTCGCTGCACTGACACTCGTGAGATAAAAACTTGAACACAAGAAGAGAAATTCCATATCTACAAGCAACCATGTATTATTTTGTTTATTATATAAACATACTCATCTGATAACGACATTTTTGACGATTTTCTGAAGATTTCTGACAACCAAACGAAGATCTCTAAAGATCCTCCAAAAATTGTCCGAAGGCCAAACCGACGTTTCCAAAAGTTCGGAAGACTAGTGAAGATTACCGATGATTTCCAAAGATTATCAAAGATTGCTGAAGACTTTTGAGGAAGATCCGAAGATGTTTCAATCATACACCAACACATTTAAGTGCAGCATAAGGGTCATTGAAACATGACAGCAGTGAAGTCACCAATATCTATCTATCTAGTGAGGATTTGGAAAATACGCTACTCGTGTCCCCAAGTGTGGTTTCGTATGAATTTTGCAAGTGGTTTATTTTCCAGTAAAACGCTCATGATTTTCAGTAGCCGTTGGGCTCCTGTGTTGATATAATAATATCCAATAATGTGTCATGATCATGAGAGGTTTCAGGCTTAATTTGTATAATAAATATTATCACCACAGTTTAGTTCAAATTTTTGTGTGGGTTTAGAGGAAATTCACTCCTGCTGTTTAAGACTTTCACTTATCATCTATTTCTTTCCTGATGTAGAACGTCTGTCAGAGGATAAACTACGAATGCAGTTGCCTCAAAATAATGCCGGACGACAGAACACACAAGTTGATATTGATCCACCAGAGACATTTGTAGAGGTAAGTTTCTTAGGTCGTTTATGTATCATTCTGTAAAATTTTGAAGTCAAGAAATCAGTTAAGTTATGTATTTTGCTTTTGTCGTTTGCTAAATCATTCATGATTTGACTGTATTTCTCCCAAATCTTTCAAACACTGTACTATTTAAATTTGTGCTCAGACTAGTACATAGTAGAACTCCATAAATCCGCCCACTGGCATGATGCGGTAATCTGGTTGTATTGATGGGTTGGTTGTGTCAAAGGTGTTTTTTTAAATAAGATGACTGACTGAACTTTTGTTCAGGTCAGAATAAAGTGGCTGTAATCACAAGGTAACCGTAAATACCCCATGTCCCTAAGGCGGGGTGCAACTGTACATCATTGATACACACTATTGTGTAATTGTTTTTGTTGCAAAGGAAAGGCAGTAGAAGGAGGGGAGGGGAGGGAAGGAGGGGCTTTGAAGATAGGAAGGG